TGGAGAGTGGGCCTTCCTTACTGTGGGGCTATCAGACCCGTGGAGGTGGGCCTTCCTTACTGTGGGGCTATCAGACCCGTGGAGGTGGGCCTTCCTTACTGTGGGGCTATCAGACCCGTGGAGGTGGGCCTCCCTTACTGTGGGGCTATCAGAACTTCAGGGCTGAGGAGCTGGGGTCCTAGCAAACAGCTCCACTGCGCTGATCTCGACCAAGGCCCTGTAGCTTCAGCACCACCAGAGGTTCTAGAGGAGAGGAAGAGCTCATGTTGGTTTCCAGCTGGCTGCGCCTTTAAGTCACGGTGACTCCCAGGTCAGGTGGACCCCATCTGTGGTTTTCACCTGTGGTTATAAAGTTGGTTTCTGCTCATAACATTGTTCTTTTATTTAGAGTTCTTTTGTTGTAAATATGGAACCTTTTTAACATTAAAACTGATTTTTCTCATGAAAATATTTTAAAATACCAGTGGATCTGAACCTGTATTACATAACCACCAACAGTTCATTCACATTCAGCGTTGCATAGAAGCTAGTGAAGAGCCAGTATTCGAAATGTCTTCAAAAACTGGGCCTGGAATTCTATCACTCAGGAAGCTGATGCAGGAGGATTATTCTTAGTTTCAGGACAACCTGGATAGAGAGTAAGAGGTTATCTCAAACTGGCTAGAAATGTATAAAAGTTTACTGTAAGGGTCGTGTTTCTATTTCCTCTGGCAAATGGCACAAATTGAATAAAGAAAAGAAAAGCTAGTGCATGTCTCACTCATCACAGCTGACTTCAAGTCTTCCTGCAGTTCCCAGCTGTGTAGTAGGAGTGGGCAGCCTGCAGTGTTGTCCTGGATGTAGAGACGTGGACATTCCTCTGCACGTATTCTGAAACGAAGCATTCTTCATGGCCTCCATGCCTCCTCTTCTGGTTTCTTAATAGAGTAGCTGTCTTCCAGGTTACCAGGTTCAGAAGCAGACTCCATGTCTTCTTTCTCTAGCAGACAGCTACTTTGATTTGTTTTCTGTAGATGGACTTTCTCCTCAAGACCACCAGCTCACAAATAATGACATGGAGACTTATTATTAATAATGAAAGCTTGGTCTTAGCTTAGGCTTGTTCCCAACTAGATCTTATAACTTAAATTAACCCATATTTTTTAATCTGTGTTCTGGCATGTTTTTCGTTTCCTCATCTCTCTGCACTGCTCATGCTGCTTCCGCCGAGTCTGGCTGGTGACTCCGCCTTTCTTCTTCCCAGAGTTCTCTCAGTCCAGAAGTCCCACCTATACCTCCTGCCTAGCTATTGGCCGTTCAGCTTTTTATTACACCAATCACCACAATACATTTTACACAGTGTACAGGATTATTTTCCCCAATTTCATCTATATCCATTCTTTTAATTCTCATAATCAGCATCCAGTTGACACTGTCATCCTTTTTGACCGAGCTTAAAAGCAGTTTTCAACCCTCTAGTGTTCTGCCCTTTAAGGAGAATCCGATCAATCGCTGAGGCAGGGTCTCATAGAGCTAGCCTCAAAGATGCTATAAAATTGAGGGTGACCTGGAACTCCCGATCTTTCTGGCGCCCCTTCTCCAGTAGTAGGGTTACAGGTATGCCACAGCCAATAGGATTCCCTCCTTAGAATTCTAAGTCGGAGTCTGTCCCAGAGCACACATAGTTCTGTGGACTGTTGATTAAAATGTCACTTCTTACCTTGACATTCAAAGTCACCCACAGTCTGAGCTGAGTCTTCCTCTCCGTCCTCACGTTTCTCTGGATTCATGTTGCTTATTTTGTGCCCATGCAATCTCTCTTTTACTCCATACATTGTTGTAATCCTCTTACGTTATTTCCACAGACTACCCGGGGTGGATGTGGGATTGGGGGGGAGGTGGGCAGCGCTTTTCAAATCCCATCTTAAAAGTTACTTGAAAGAACTTTCCAGTATTCACGGTCTCCATTTCCCAACCAGGACAGTCTCCTGCTCTAGCACTCAGTCACTCCACCTGTTACCCTTCTGATTCATTTCCTCTGTTATTTCTCAGGGCCATTAGGAGCAGGGCTTGTCACTTACTCAGTTTTATAGTCTTTATAATGATGACATGAGTTCCTTTAACATAGGAAGGCTTCAAGTCCTATTTCTAGAATTGAGTCACTGGGAGTGCCTAAGGGTAGAGGAATCCATTTGAATTTAAAATCTTCTTAATTTATTGGAATAAGAGATGTCGTAGAGTGAAGGTCCACATCTGACATAATCTTCTATGTGGATTTTTTTTTTTATTTAATAAACTTTCTTGTGACTCTGTTCTCATCTGCCCTCTGCTGGTTTTTATTTCCTCAGAGGGTGTTTTGACGCTGAGGGCAAAACCCCCACCTCCTGATGAATTTGTTGACTGTTTCCAGAAGTTTAAACATGGATTCAACCTTCTGGTAGGTGGGCTTTATTTATATATAATTAGAAGAAACAGATGGAAAAGATCAAAGACTAGCCAGAATGTTCCTGGAAATTAAATTAAGAGATACAGTTGTCCCTGCAGATTTGTGGGTGTGTGCTTTGATTGGCCTTTAATTATAACATCTGTTTGCAAGGTATGTGTGTCGAAGAGACATGATTAGCTGGGAGGCAGTGCCTGGGTTCTTAGCTGAGAGACAGTGCCTGGGTTCTTAGCTGGGAGGCAATGCCTGGGTTCTTAGCTGAGAGGCAGTGCCTGGGTTCTTACCTGAGAGGCAGTGCCTGGGTTCTTACCTGAGAGACAGTGCCTGGGTTCTTAGCTGAGAGGCAGTGCCTGGGTTCTTAGCTGAGAGGCAGTGCCTGGGTTCTTAGCTGAGAGGCAGTGCCTGGGTTCTTAGCTGAGAGGCAGTGCCTGGGTTCTTTGCTGAGAGGCAGTGCCTGGGTTCTTAGCTGAGAGGCAGTGCCTGGGTTCTTAGCTGGGTGTTCTTCCTCTCATTCTCTCCGTGGTGTGCGAGCCCCTCGAAGCAGAAGTGTTAGGGAGGGGATGCCCTCCTGGGTCTGCCTTGGACTTCTGTGTCCGTCCTTGAGGTGATGGCCTTGTGGTAATGCATTTGTTTTCTTGTGTCCCAGGCCAAGCTGAAGTCTCATATCCAGAACCCGAGTGCTTCAGATCTGGTTCACTTCTTGTTTACTCCACTGAATATGGTGAGCATTTATTGATTAAACCAGGCAAGAATTCTTAGTATGTCTTCCATCCAAGACGCTGAATTACTTAGGTGCGTTTCCTTGATTGCCTTACCTGGGTCCTGTTTTCCTTACCATGTGTAAACTCTGAGAATGTGAAGTTTGAGAATTTAGAAGGACACACACCTCACTTATGGCTGGGGACTTGGCACACACACACATGCACATTATAATAGCAATTTATTGCAACCTAGCATTGTTACAAACATCTTGTTTTCCAGAACAACTGGGGGAATTAGGTAGACTCATGTTTAGGAATTCACACACAAAAGTACTAGGTTTTACAAAGCAAGCAAGGAACATGTAGAGTGGCTATAAGTGGTTCATTCTAACCAAAGATAAATGGCTTAAAAGTATCTGTTTTACTTGTGTGTATGTGTGTGTGCGCGTGCGTGCGCACGTGCGCGCGTGCGTGCGTGCTGTCCTAAGAAGAAAGAAGAGGGTGTCAGATCCCCAGAGCTCAAGGTAGAAGCTGCTGTGAGCCCCTCGCTCCCTCAGGTCCTCTGGGGGCGCCATACTTACTGTTAACTACTCAGCCATTTCTTCAGCCTGCTTCTTTTTTAATGGAATGACAAAGCAGCATGGAAATTATTCGCAATATGTGATTGCTCTATCATGTATGTGATTTTTTTCCCTAAAGAATAAAGATAAAGCCATACAAAATAAAAGTTCCCCAGTTTTGGTTTAGAACGTGAAAATATGTGTAGTTGAGTTCTTTAATGTTAATCAAAACCAGAGAAAATTTGATATTTCTCATACATTTTATTAAAGTTTTAAAGAAAGAGAAAAATCAAGCAAACAAAGGCATGAAAGTCACGCTGCCTTCCCAGAGCTGACACGGAGGCCTGAGGGAGCGTTTGAGTCCAGCTTTGATTCAAACAGACAAGACTAAGTAGCACTGCCAGCGTGGATGTGGGGTGACTGCTCACAGATTGGGGGTGAACCGCTATTGTTATTGTCCAGACGACCTTAATTGTTGCTGGATGTGTCTGTATGGTGTCCTAGAGTGAATTTCTGACAACCTAGGTATTGTTGAATTAGTTGTATTGAACAACTCTTAAAAAAAATTAGAACAAATTAAATTTGGTTCTGGCAGTTGGTAATTCCAAACTCCAGAGCCTGAGGGCAGGGAATCAGGAGTTCAAGGGCAGCCTAGGCTATCCAGTGAGTTGAGAGTCATCCAAGGCTAAACAGTAAGACCCTGTCTCAAAAAATAAAAGCAACAGAAACAATAAAACAATGAGATCCATCTCATCCAAATGGGAAGAAATTAACACTAGCTCACTAACAAAGTCAAAATTTGATCCTGTCTTGGTATTACCACATGCTTATCAAGCAGCTTTTGACATGACTTTTATTTTTCACAAGTCTGAAGCAGGTATCTAATAGCCACCTCAAGTCATGTCCCCAACTCAGTTAACCATTGTGATCAGCCTGCCTGTCTTAAAATATCTACCAGTTTTATCTTTGCCTTTCTCCAAAAAGACACCGAATCAGTGTTCTCACCATCACGATCCTGCTGCTCCGTGCAGGGCCGTAGACATTTTACTCGGTCAGGGAGCTGGGGAAGGACATGCATTTAGGGCTTCCTATCAGTGAGGCAATGTGGAGTGTTTTGCTTGCAAGTCTCTCCTCTCTATGTTCATTGTGCCACACAGACATGGCGGTAATGCATGGGGGTGTGTGCATGTCTGCTGGATTTCTTGACTTAACTCTTTTCCGATAGTCTCCTTCCCCTCTGCTAACCCAGAAGGTACAGCATTCTACTCCTTCACTCCGTTAGTGATCTCTGCATGCTCTCTGCAGATGTTTTGGGTTGGGAGTGAGAAGCTGCAGTCACAGAGTTGAGCACAGTGGTGCATGCGCCTTCAGTCACAGCACTTCCAAGGCTGGGGTAGAATAGTGAGTTCCAGGCCAGCCTGCGTCACATAGTAAGACCTTGTTTCGAAAACCTGAAATAACAATCCCCCCCCCCAAAAAAAAAAACTGAACCTGCCATGTTGGCCCACACCTGTACTCCCAGCACTTGGGAGCCTGAGGCAGAATTGCTGTGAGTTTGAGGACAGAGTGAACACCATAGAAAGTGCAAGATCAGTGTAGACTGCAAAGTGAGACCTTAACTAAAAATCCAAAGACATAAAACCAAACAGAAACTGTAGTGCTGGCTGGTCAGGTGCGTTCTGTTCACAGACGAGTTGGCTCAAGGCTTTCACTCACAATCTTTCAATATTTGCTTTGATTCCCCAGTGTTGTGTCTTCTGCAATTTAAAGTCCGTTAAATCAAGAGAAAATAAGCTTTATGTTACAATGTAGTCTGTCACTACTGTGCACCAGTTGAGGACAGTGGGTCCCAGGTGAGCCCTGTATCAGAATCATGCTGGCATTAAGGATTCCCAAAAGATATGACACCTGGGTTGGATTCTGGGTAATGGAGGAAGGGTCTGCAGGGTTACTAGAAAATCTGTGTTTATAGAGCCACAAACAGTATGGCCTACCCAGAGCCGCTGACCTGAGAAACATTGTCTCAGTCTATAGCCATTCAGAAGCATTAAAAAATAGAAAACAAAAACAAAACAAAATCTCTTTCTTCCTGAAGCACATCTCTGAGAAGGCCAGACTGTAACAAAGTATCTATCCAGTCTGTCTGCTACAAGATAACAACCTTGCCTCAGCCAGGACATCGCTCCAGGGAGACAAATGTGGAGCTGCTTTCAGACACACACTGGTGGTGGTGTGCTTATCAAAGTGTGCACCTGTTTCCCGCTGACCATTAACTTGTCCCTATCAAATCAGGGAAACTTACTAGAATTGGATTCTGTGAGTTGGGGGGTACTGTTTGCCATTGTTTCTTTCCTCTCCCTGCCTCTCCCCCTTCCTCCCTGCCCCTGGCTCCTTTTCAGTTTCTACACCTCCACAGGCGGAGCATGAACTGCTGACTAAGGCTTCTTTCTCTCCCTCTCCACAGTGTTCCTTCTGGATCCATAGTTTCCAATGTTGGCATAACAGATTTGCCAATTGCAACTGGTATCTTTTAAATAACAGAAAACTATGGAAGTTATAGATGGTTAAGTAGGCAGATAAGGGCTCTCTACACTGCCATTAGTATCTTGCAGGGAAGTAATAGATGCATATAGCCAGTATGTAGGTGCTGTGAGTATCCTTAAACTATTGAAGTTTATACAGTAATGCACCCTCACTCTGGATAAGTCCGTTTGAGAAGCCATTTTTCACTCTCTAATATCTTATACAACATCAACTTTTAATTCGAACATATAGAAATAATGCTTAATTCTGGAATTGATTTTGTGCATAAATTTCAGAGTATACATATAATCATTTCCTTGCTAAAAAATAGTTTTGTTTTTCATCTAGGTGGTCCAGGCAACAGGCGGTCCTGAACTGGCCAGTTCAGTACTCAGCCCACTGTTGACTAAAGATACAGTTGATTTTTTAAACTACACAGTCACTGCAGATGAACGGCAGCTGTGGATGTCACTGGGCGAGACTTGGCTGAAAGTCAGGTAAGCACATGAAAGTTCAGCATTTAGGACCTGGGATGCTGTGAGCACTCTGTCTGTTGGTAAGCACATGAATGCTCAGCATTTAGGACCTGTGATGCTGTGATCATGTCTGTTGGTAAGCATATGAATGCTCAGCATTTAGGACCTGTGATGCTGTGAGCACTCTGTCTGTTGGTAAGCATATGAATGCTCAGCATTTAGGACCTGGGATGCTGTGAGCACTTTCTGTCTGTTGCACTAAACCAGGGAGACAATTGTGTAAGATTTATATAAAGAATTACATGTTATGGGATGAAGAAATCGATGTCATTGAAAACCTTGCTGTTGCCAGGCAGTGGGGGCACATGCCTTTAAACCCAGCACTCAGGAGGCAGAGGCAGGCAGATCTCTGTAAATTCGATGCCAGCCTGGTCTACAAAGCAGAGGCTAGGACAGCCAGGACTGTTACACAGAAAAACCCTATCTTGAAAAACCACAAAAAGGGGGGGGGGGGGGGGGGGAAAGAAAGAAAGAAAAGGGGATTCTGTGGCTATTATGTTGAACTGAATGGTGTTGTAAAATAATAATAATAATAATAA